CCCCCAGTGGGAGGGGCTTGCTGCAGGTATTTCAGCTGGTAGATGTTTAAGAAAAGATCAAACCACTGGAGAGAAGAGTTTTTAAGAATCAAAGAGAAGCTATCAAGAGAAGGAGAGAAGACACAAACCAGAAAAACTGTTGCTATGAAGTGGCTGGAGATTTTTGTATTACTGGGCATGTGCTCACAGGTATTGTAATAAATAGTGAGGAGATAATTGTTATAGGAAATTGATCAGAACACTTAATACATATATTTTATCTTAATTTGCAGGCTGCAGCCCAATCAGGTACTGTATGTTGTCTTTTACTATATTCAACTGTTGGCGCTTTATCACAGAACAAGAAAAAAACTTGACTTGTCTGAAAGAATCTTTTTCTCAGGGTGCCAAATGTGTCTTATGATGATTTTTGCTCTACCTTCATTAGATTTTAAAGTGTCTGTGTTCTCTGCAACATCAAAGACTGTGACTCTCAGATGGACCAGGTACTCTGGAGCCACTTCATACCAGATCACTGTAAAATCACAGAGCGAACATGTCGCTTTTGCATCATTTGGTCCAAACACAGTGATGGGCTCTGTTACCTCGCTGTCTCCAAACGTCATGTATAACTTCGTAGTTGAAGCAATGAGTGGTTCCCAAAAACTCAGCACTGCATCAGTTGAATCATCAACAGGTAAGACATCATGCACTTCAGTCCATGCTCATGCTGTTTAAGATATGAAGTATCTTACTATTTTTTTCTAAAACAAACAGTTTTTAAATTAATTTTATTGAACATGACTTTGTCCTAATAAGTTGTTTCATTTCTAGAGGGTCCAGGCTGTGTAGCTGTTGCATAGAAATGCAACCAGTACCTTTTTAAAGTTTGGAGAACACGCTACAGCAGCTGATGAACCCCCTGTATACCACAATGAAATCCTACAGTATTTGTAGCAAGCTTCATTTCTGTTGCATCACATAAGAGTGTTAAGATTGTAGCTTATAATTTGAATGGAAAAAATAGAACTGATTCATTATGAAAAGGATGTCATTTAGGAAGTAAACTTTCCAGTGTTTCTTAAGTTTTTCAAACTTCACGCTGGACTGGTAATACCTATTATTAGACTTTTATTACACAGTGTCTTTAAGTGTCCGTTCTCCATAGAGTTCAAGGTTGTTAATTTTGAACTTACAGTTTCCCAATTAATGTTATTTGAGTTGTAAATTTCAAAGAATAGCCTGTAAAGCTCGATGGGTTAGAACAGGGGTGGGCAATCTCAGTTCACGAAGGCCGGTGTCCTGCAGGTTTTAGATCTCACCTTGGGTCAACACAACTGAATCACATGATTAGTTCGTTACCAGGCCTCTGGAGAACTTCAGGACATGTTGAGGAGCTAATTTAGCCATTTAAATCAGCTGTGTTGGTTCGAGGACACATCTAAAACCTGCAGGGACACCGGCCCTCGTGGACTGAGATTGCCCACCCCTGGGTTAGAATGTTTGTAAAGCTGCCATGTTTAAGTAATTTTGCAATGCAAATATAGCTATCTAGATCTGTTGGCAGTTTTACTGCTAGTATTACTGCCATTTTTCAGGCTAGCATCACTAGTATCACTTGAGACATCACTAGTAATAAACGTGTGATTTATAGTTATGTTCAGTAAATGTACCAGAGGAGATGTATGGGGTAGTTTTGGTTGCTTTTTAAATAAAAAAAAACACTTAATTAAACCACTTAAATCTAAAGTTCAGCACGCAGACACATACAGTAAAAGTTAACTTAAGAGTGGACTTGATACCATCCGTGTTGTGAATTGTTTGTGCCTCTTTCAGCCCCTGATATGATGGAGCCCATTCTGACCGTGAAGTCACTGGATAGCACAACCTTGACAGTGGAGTTTAACTCGAGAAACGGGGTGTCTCATTACATCATACGTGTTGAGAACAGCAATGGCTTCTTCAGAGAGGTTGCAGCATCCTCCTCTCCAGCTGAGATTGAGTCCCTCGCGCCGTACACTGAGTACTCGCTCAGCATCATGGCTGTGAACACCGCAGGCCGCAGCCAGCCCTCAATTCCTGTAACTGGAAAGACAGGTGGGATTTTCAAATTACTCGTGTGAAATGGGTCTCACACCCCATGCCCTGCAGAGGTCACTTGATCTGTTTTATTGTCTAAACAGCACAACCACTATATTCAATTGTTCAAGTGAAATGTACAGTATACACACTCATCTTCAACCCTACGGGCCTCCCTGGCATCGGTGGTAACCATACCTGACCCCTCTATGTCAAACATAAAGAGCTGAACTCTTCCTGAGTAAAGGGTTACCAGCTCTAATCTCATCTTTACGGGGGGCAACATTCGATTCTCACGAACATGAAACATGAACTCGCAGCTGTAGCCTCTCAGCGGTGCAATGAGTTTACTGATCTTGCACCAGTCAACAGGTCTTGTTTAAAAATCTCTTAAGAGTGCACCTGTTCAACTAATCCAGTCACTTTGTGACAATCATTTTTTAATAATTCAGAGAAATGTCCTCTAAACTTTTTGATTTATGCAAACTTGATTAACTTGAAACAGAAATGAAGACAAAGTTATGTGACTATTACCAAAGTAATACAGAGTTTATCTATTAATAATACTGATTACTTGCTTAATATATTAGTAACAGTTTTCATCGCTAACATACAATTACTTGAACCTTTCACGCTTTAATACTAAGCAACTTTCAAACTGATTCTTGAACGTGAACACAATCAAACTCTGAAGCTCTGCCTCACTTAAAAACTAAAATGATCAAAGAAAATAACATAAGCGCACAGTCTGAATATGTAACAACTGACAAGAGCTCTAAATGTTGCACCCACTATAAGTTGACGTTACACTGACTTCCTTCACATAGTCTTGGATTAAACTTTTGGACTTTCATTAATGTGCTACAGTATTCATCTCCCACACCAGTTACTACATATAAAACAGTCTAATCTTGTCTTTCACAGTTTTGGCTCCTCCTCAGCTTTCGTCCTCCTCTACGAGCAACAGCAGCATCGTTGTATCCTGGGATCCAGTTGCTCATGCCGTCCAATACACCCTGTCCATATGCAAGCTTGATTCAAACACAAGCATGGGCGTGTACAACACCTCCAACACCAGCTTGACCTTCTCCGGCTTGGATGCTGGCTCACTCTACATCATAACTTGTTTTGCTTGGGATCTTGAAGGTCGAAAGGGAGACAGCTCGAACGTTAAACAGGCTACACGTAAGCAGGCACTGAGACAGTTGTCTGTTTGTGACTGTACACTTTGTGTTTACTCTAGCATACAGAGCGTTATTCAGTAAGAGCCCTGGACAGCATGAAGAATGCTTAACCATGATCTAGGGTCAATGCAGCAAAGCAGTAAAGCCACCAAAAACACACACAGTATTATAATTCCGAGGAGTCTTACTGTGGCAAATTATCCGTAAGGTTTAATGAACATGCTGCTTAAAATATAGGAGCACAACAAGGATGAAATACTTGTTTTCTAAACTTAGAACCTTGAAAACTTCCTGTTTTAGTAGACATTTGAAAAATACAATGAAGTAAAAAAGCAAAATTTTCCAATTAATTACAACAAATAAAAGCATGCATTCAAAAATAACCAAATGCAGTTATATCACACTGGTTCTGGTGTCTACTCCAGTTTAGTCCTTCGCTGGTTTTGTTTTTATTTTTTGTTATTTAACAGGACCTCGGACCCCAACGTCTGTCAATGTGTCTGTGGTGATGAATGGCAGTGTGGCTGGACTCTTGGTGTCTTGGGAGCCAGACCAGGAGGTCTATGGACCCATTGAGTACAATGTGACGAGTGACCTAAACTTAATGTGTAAGACCACATCCAGCTCCTGCACTCTCTCAGTAGTGGGGTGTGGAGAGGTACACACCATCCAAGTCACTGCCTCAAATGA